GACCATACCCTGGTACGTTCCCGCTTCAAGATCCACCTGACTACTCGCCGGAAGACTCGTCTTCAAGGAAAATTCAACTTCGCGCTCTTGGAACGACCTGGGAGAAGGCAGGTGGTGCTCGACGAAAGCGCTTCCAATAAAGCCGAAACTTTCTTCGATGACTCAACTGTGGTCTACACTGAAAACGTCCATCAGAGAAGCAGCGCTGGGGCAGTTAGGTGACATTGGATCTCCGAGCGTACACTACAGTTGTCCGCAAAGGCAAGGGATGCACGGCTGATCAATTCTCTTGAATTTCGTATTCTCCGTCGCCAAACCAGACACTCCACAAAGAGTGACCGTGAACAATATTGGAAGGCGATTGCAAACAGCATGGAGGCTGCAACCGTCGCAGCGGACTTTGGAAAGCTATTCCGTCTAATTCGTGTCGCAGCAGGAAAGAGGCAGACATCGGAACCACTGTTGCGCAGCAACCCAGGCCAACTTATTCAGGGAACCGAGCGAAAAATGCAAAGGTGGGTTGAACACTTCGACGGGCTGTTCAACCGACCATCAAACCAATCTGGCTCTCTGCAGATGTCAAGCAGTTCGGAGACTTACGACATCAATCGTGACCCACCTAGCACGACAGAAATCATCAATGCTGTCACTTCTCTGAAAAACAAGAAGGTCCCTGGAGAAGACGGGATACCATCAGTTACTTAAAGCTTGCTAACCAACACCAATCTGCTGCACTCTCTTTTTCATGCCATTCGAGAAAGAGAGGTTTTTTCCCAAAGATTGGACGGCTTTAATTTTAGTTCCGGTCATAAAAAAGAGTAATAGATCTAGATGCGAAAATTACAGGGGTATTAGTCTGATTGATACTGTGGCTAAATTGTTTGCAGCGACACTGCTTAATCGCTTCGCAGTCGTCAGAGATACCCACACTCGCCCGAACCAAGGGGAGTTCCGCCGCGGAAGAGGCTGTGTTGAACAAATCTTCACTCTCCGTAAAATTCTGGAACACCGCTACAAGTTCCAACAGCCTACCACTGGATGTTTCATTGACTTCGCGCTGCGTTTGACTCTGTCAATCGAGAATCCTTGTGGTGCCTATTGCAGTCCGATGGGATACCTGTGAAGTTCCTAAGGCTTTTAAAGTCATACTATTCAGGAACCCTGGCACGGGTCCGCACCTATGAAGAAAAATCGGCTGAGTTTACCTCAAGTTCTGGAGTTAGGCAAGGTTGTCCCCTTTCGCCGGTGTCATTCAATTACACTGTAGATTGGATAATGCGACAAGCACCCATCGACTACCCTGGAGTGCAACTTGATCCAGGTACATGGATTGCGGACCTCCGGTTTGCGGACGATGTTGTTGAAAACAGCATGAACAGCCTCCAGTCTGTTGTTAGTCGTATAAATCAGTTTGCCCAGTCCGTTGGGATAGAGATCGACACGTCGAAAACGAAGACATTTCCGACCGAAACTTCTACCATGACACAATCACACTCGATTAACAGGGAGCTTATCGAATCAACTGAAGTTTTCAAGTATCTTGGCTCTACGATAAGACCAAACGGCTAGGCTAAGGATGAAATCCAACTCCGTGTAGATGGAGCTGGAAGATCCTTCCTGCAACTCCTCAAACCGTCGTGGAATCGATGCGAAATAAGCTTAAACACAGCTTCGGGTTTATCAGGCTTCCATCCGCCCCATCCTCACTTATGGTTGTGAAACCTGGCTGCTAAGAGTACAACACACAAGGAAGCTCAAAGTCTTTGATCGTGGGTGCTTACGCCGCATCTTGAAAGTAAATTGGAGATCGGATTTCCAATGAAAAGGTTCGACGGCGCTGCTTAAACATTGATAAGCGTTCAAAAATGCTACAACGCCGGCGCCTTCATTGGTTTAGTCATGTGCTCCGAAGGCCTGACACTCAACTCTCGCGACAGGCTGTAGCTCCCGCACCGTGCCGTGGATGGCGTTGCCGACTTGGTGGTCAACTGAAGACCTGAAGTAGTACGATCAAGGCGGATTTGGAATTACTGGGTTTTCAATCCGTATATGGAATTCGCAACTGGAACCAGAACTGGGTTTTTCACTGTGTCANTCAACCTTGCTACTAATCGTCGTACATGGGCCGCCATCATTAGAGACATCCAGTTGGTCTAATCAGCTGCACGGTGGCCGAGTGGGTAGCATGCTTGCGTTCTACCTGTGCGGTCCCGGGTCCGATTTTCAGTTAGTTTGATGGTTTCGCATTACTGAGACCCAACCAGGTCGAAACAACTGTCTAGTGCTTCCCACGTTTCGGCTCACGCCTCATTTACACGACGAATTAGTCATATAAACGAATCAAATACTTCTTTAATCTCATGAGGATATTAGTCAGACGAGTGGGAAAATTTATTTCTGGTGAGAACTGAGGTTTTAGTCCTGGACGTACCGGGACGCGTAGATACCCGACAGATGAAACTGCTTCCTTGGGTAGATTTTGTGACGGGGGAATTCAGTTTATTTCAGTAATGAAAATTTCAGCAGCCTCGGCAGTATTTGGAATTATCAATGAATGCCACCTACGCTACTAACCTATGTAACCTAACTCATTCTACGAAAGCCTCAGTATGGTTGGGGGTGAGTGTCTTAGATTGCCGCTGCTTAAGCTTCCCTTGCACCTCGCCAAATGCCCCCATACGACCTAGCGTCTCAAATGGCCTCTGCTGAGGAAGCCCTATTCACTACCTTCTCGTGGTGGGTGTTTTCCTACCAAAGTAAGAGGAGAAAGAGCCAACATCCGGAGTTATAACCGGGTCGGTGAACCACTGGCAGTTTCTCTAGGGGAAATGGCTAAAATCCCTGATTCAAAACCAACCAAGAAAAGGGGTATGAACCAAAAACACACTTCCTGTTTGTGATAGTGGTCATCGACTCGATTGGGCATCGAAGTGTATTGAGCAACTTTGACGTTTGTATTACTTTACGGCGACTGGCTCCTGGGAGAGGATAAGCAGGCTTCATGGATATCCTGCACTATCGATGCCCACGCTCGGCGATCTGCGGCAAGACCAGAGCAGATTGTGATCCAGCTTGACTTTCATTAGCGAACGCCGTAGACGGAACGGAGACCAAGGTTTTCAGTATCCTTTCGTACCGTGTCAAGCCAGGTTTTCAGCTGTCCACCGTGTCGACAGCGCGAGTTCGGGCATGGAGGCGGTGCCAAGACGGCTTTGATCAGATCGTTATCAGAATAATGAAGCATGTGACTAAACCATTGTAGACGCCGTCGTTGTATTAGCATCCGCAGTCATACAAGATTAAAACACCGATTTCTGACCGCTTCATTTAAGTTAATTCCTTCATCATACTCCCAGAATGATCCTTAAGCACCATCCGACGGATTCGATCGGCTCGCCGTTTAGTAGTAAAGTATTTTCAGGATGAATCGGCAGTGTCGCAAAGGTTTTGGTTTTTGATGTGTTCACCTCTAGGCCGATCTCGGAGGCCTGTCAACTGATGCGGTCAACGATTACTTGGAGGTTGGACATATCTTCGCCAAAGACGACAACATGATCCGCGAATTCTAAGTCGGTAAGCAATAAGTTCGGAGAGATCTGAACTCCCTGGCATCCTTCCATCGAACGACCCATTATCCAGTCAACGGCAAAGTTGAACAACATCGGGGACAATGGGCACCCTTGTCACACTCTATGTCCTAACCCGAATGCACATGACTCCTCTCCGTAGATGCGAATTCGGGCGCTAGTGTTAGAATAGTAGGATCTCATTAAGTTGACAAGGTTAACTGGGACACTGACCAGAATTATGTTCCAGAGGGATTCGCGATCTACGGAGTCGAACACCGCACAAAAATCAATGAAGCAGACTGCTGTGGGTTGTTGAAACTTGTGACGATTTTCCAAGAGTCGACGTAGAGTGAATATTTGGTCGACGCAACCCACACCAGGGCGGAATCCCTTCTAGTTAGGACTAGTGCGTGCGTGCCTTGTTGCAGCAAAGCGCTTCAGCAAAAGTTGTGCAAAGACCTTGGCCGCCACATCAAGTAAACTGATGCCGCTGTAGTTTTTGCACACTGATTTGTCACCCTTTTCAGGGAAAGTTAGTAAAAATCGATGTTGGGCAAATTTTGGTTTACTAGAATGCACACAGCAAGCTATGAAGAGGGTTTTAAATGGCTGAAGAACACTGCGTAGGTTTCGGTGGGTATCCTGTCCTCACCCGGAGATTTCCTTGACTAGAGATGGCTGATGATATCTGAGACTTCTTCTACTGATAGCGCAGCGTAGTTAGCTTATTATGGAGAAGATAGCGAGGAGGATGCATAGGGAAGTTGAATTTGAGGGCGACTGAGAAGAAGACTAAAGTGTTCCACTCACCGAGACATTTTTTCTTGCGTATCAGAAATGAGCTCGCCGGAGGCGCTGCGCAACACAGAATGGATGACCCGTTTCTTGCTTAATGCTAATCAAATAAGTCGGAAGAGGGTCGACGTGTTCCCCAGGTTGGGTGTTGTCTCCATTTTTTTAGCCATTTCATTTCAGTAGTTGTATCTATTGTTTCTGGTTGATCGTATTGCGGTTTGTATGGCGGTTCTCACACATCGCCCCGCTACCTTGCGAGTCAGGCTTTGGATAGCTGAGGGCCCCCAGTTGTGAATTCGCTAAGAAAATTCACCTGCTTCTGCCTGAGATTTCATCTGCGGAGCTTTTCAATCAGCCGTCTCTCCGCTCAAAAGTTCTGTAGCAACTGTTCAGTTTTTATTTCATTCTTGTCCATCTCTTTTCAAATATATTAGTCTTATCACTGAAACGTTAAAATCCGTCTTTTACTTGTACTGTTCCATGGAAAGGCTGTTTGTCCGCAACGGTAGAAATAACCCGCACCTTTTGAAATCATTGCCAAGCCAAAAAGAAAACGCTTATAAATCTCATTACCCATCAGAAGTCAGGCTATAATTTGATTTAATCAACGCTGAGATAACATCTGAATGCAACGTTTGCTGCCAAATTGTGCGAACGAACATCATCAAGCTTTCATGACAGGAGATTCATCTTCTCTTTGGTCAAAACAGAAGATAATCGTAAATTCCGGTGGGCGTCAACAAACTCAACGCTGAATTTATCTACCCTTCCAATAACAATCAGACTCATTTCTTTTCCTGTGATGATTCTGATACAGTGCCATTTTCTGATGAAAAAATACTTGAGCTTTTCCGGTCCAACTCGACTGCAAGCTCTGATGGTCTCCCTCGGATGCTTCTCAACTTTGGAACAGACCCATTAGCCAATGTGATGATAGTTCTCATTAGTGAGTCCGTAGTTCCTGACGATTCCTGGCGTCACGTTGCCATAATTACAGTCACAAAGACTTTATTTTCAATGGCTCTTGCGAAACAGTTTCGTCCTATCACACTGACCTTTGCAGTTCTTCAGTAGACTAAAAAGATCATTCTGAGTCCCCCTCAAATTTGAATATAAACTCAACCTCCATATCTCGACCCCGCCTAGAGTAATTAGCTTCCGGTCCCACCTCCTGCGAACATCCAAAAGTATGTTAATGATGCCGTTCTGTCAGATAATCTTTTCCTTTGCTGAGAATCCATTCTGAATTCAACAAATTCACAACCAATCTGATGTTAGTAATAACAACAACATAACAACATAACATTTACTTTAGAAATGGAATGCAACCACAAATTGCCGTTTCTAG